ACTCTGGGATTTTCTGCACAGATAATTGTATCATCTGTAAATAGTTTTGTTTCTTTCATTCTCACACTTACATCTTTATTTTTCTTGTCTTCCTGTGGGGCTGAGACTTCCACTGCCATGATTATTAGAAGCATTGACAGTAGGCATCATCACTGGTTTGTTCTGATTCTAAAGTCAGTTCTTCTGCCCTGGCCGATTTGGCTCTGCGGTTATTGAGTATCGGCCTGTGGACCAATGAGTCGTGGGTTCGATTCCAGTCAAGGGCATGTACCTAGGTTGCAGTTCATCCCCAGCCCTGGTGGGGTCATACAGTTAGCAACCAGTTGATGTGGCTCTACCAGATTGATGTTTCTCTCTGTCTCTCTCTCTCCCTCCCTCCCACGCTATCTTATAATAAGCAGGAAAATATCCCCGGGTGAGGAATAAAAAAATAAATAAATAAAGTCAGTTCTTCTAACGTTACTATTCAGTATGGCAAATCCCCATGTATCAGATAAAGGAAATTCTCTCCATTCTTAGCTGGCTAAAAGTTTTTATAATTACTGTGTTAGTTTAAACACAGTAATTAAATTTTATCAAAGCATTTTCAGCATATATTCTACTGCTTCTTTTAGGAGAGACAGTCTGCCATGTGTTCTAAACGTCCCTCCCTGCACATCCCTGACCCATATGCCAAATTGCAAGACCTAACCTTCCACTGAATCTGAATAGTTTCTGTAGCTGGTCACTTACAAATTAAATAGGTCAAGGTGACCACAGTATAATTATTGTATGACTGCTCAATCTCAAGGAAAGGACTGGCTTGCTTCCTGCTTGACTCTGGGTTCCTCAGCTGCAGTGCATCCACTGTGTGCACAGCCCCCATCTCTGCCCATCACATCACCCTGTGAGACCTGAGGGCAGCGAACCAGCACTAACATACTGATGCCCCTGCTGACTGCTCTGCTGAAAGAAAACACTGCCTTCCTCTGATCCACTGAATCCTACTGTCTATTTCTGGCACTTAGGATATTTTATGGCAGTTGACTCCTTGCCATTCTCTATGATGTTGGGGTTATTCTCTGATAGTTCATAAGGCTCCTCTTATAACTTCTAACACTGTCCTTGTAAAGTCATTAAAAAAACTATCAATCTAGTTAAATCTGTTCATCTTTTTTTTCTATGTTATCAGATGCCTCTATAAGTAACCAAAGCTCACAAACAATTGAGGTCTTTCCAAAAGGTGTTTTCCCAACAGAATTCTATTGATCAAAATAAAGGAACTGAGCAAATATCTTAGAGTAGCAGACACTTTGTAGTGACTCAAACGTTCTTTTTTTTTTTTTATCCTCACCCGAGGACATTTTTTCATTTTTTGTTCAGGTAGAGTGGGAGGAAGAGAGAGAGAGAGAAACATCGATGTGAAGGGAACACATCGAGTGGCTGCCACCCGCACAACCGACCAGGGCCGGGGACAAACTGCAACCAAGGTACGCGCCCTTAGCGGGAACCGAACCCGGGTCTCTCAGGACCGCAGGCCGACGCTCTAACCGCTGAGCTAAACCGGCCAGGGCATCAAATGTTCTAAAAAAAAAGCTTACCTTCTACTTAAGCAAACATGTACCTTGTAACCCATACCACACATTAAGAATAATTTATTAATTTGATAAGAATATATCAAGAGTTCAAATATTTTTAAATATATATTTTTACTATCAATTACAAAATGCCAATAGACACAAAATACTAGCTATTAGTGCTACTGTTATATTAGTCTCAAAAATACATTGCTTGTTGCTTTTAAATTTTTAAATCCTAACAAAAAATATTTCATCTATATGCCTTGAGGTTAGACTTTTTTCATGACCAAATCATTTATTTTCTTAATAATTTTTTAATTACAGTTGATGGAGAATATTATATTAGTTTCAGATGTACAACCCAGTGATGAGACATTATGTAACTTACAAAAGGGTCACCCTGATAAATCTAGTTCCCCTCTAACACCATATAGTTATTACAACATTACTGACTATATTCCCTATGCTGCACTTACATCCCCATGATTATTCTAATAACTCTAGTAACTCTTAATTTGTACTTCATAATCCCTTCACCTCTTCTACCCACCCTTCCCTAAGCCCCTCACATTTGGCAATCAACAAAAGGTTCTCTGTAGCTATGAGTTTCTGTTCTGTGTGTTTATATTGTTCTTTAGATTCCACATATAGGTGAAATCACATGACATTTGTCTTTTTCTGCCTGCACAACACAATACCCTCTAGGCCCATCCATGTTGTTGCAGATGGCAAGATTTCATTCCTTTTTTATGGCTGTCATATTCCATTGTATATATGTATCATTTCTTTATCTATTCATCTATTGATGGACACTTAGGTTGCTTCCATATCTTGGCTATTGTAAATAATGTTACAATAAACATAAGGGTGTATATGTCTTTTCAATTTAGCGTTTTGAGTTTCTTCAGATAAATACCCAGGAGAGGAATTTGCTGGTTCTTGGTTCTCTCTTGTTATAGCCTTTGTTTTAAAGTCTATTTTGTCTGGTATAAGTATTTCTACCAGTTTTGTTTTGTTTTAATCCTCACCCAAAGACATGTTTTTCATTGATTCTAGAGAGAAAGCAAGGGAGGAGAGAAATATCGATGTGAGAAACATCAGTTGGTTACCTCACCCACCCACCACGACTGGGGATTGAACCCACGACCCTTCAGTGCACGGGATGATACTCTAACCACAGAGCAACACTGGCCGGGCAATACCAGTTTTTTTGTTTCCATTTTCATGAAATATCCTTTTCCATCCCTTTGCTTTGTTTCTGTGTGTCTTTCCATCTGAAGTGAGTCTCTTATAGACAGCATATGTAAGGGTCTTCTTTTTTAACCATTCTGTCACTGTATATCTTTTGATTAGAGCATTTACTCCATTTATTTGCATTTAAAGTAATTGTTGATAGATATGTATTTCTCGCCACTTTATTATTCATATGTTTCTTTATTCTCACCTGAGGATATGTTCAATTGATTTTGAGAGGGAAACACTGATCAATTGTCTCCTGTACGCACCCCTACCAGGGATCAAACCTGCAACCTAGGTATGTGCCTTAAGCAGGAATCAAACCTACAACCTTTTGGTGCACAGGACAACACTCCAACAGAGACACCCAGCCAGGGCATTCATATTTTTCATATTTTTTATCTTTTCTCCTTCTTCTTCAAGACTGTTGACCATTTCTTGTAATACTGGTGGTAATGAACCCCTTCAGCTTTTTCTTGTTTGGGAAGCTCTTTATCTGCCCTTCGATTCAAAATGAGAGCTTTTCTGGGCAGAGTAATCTTGGTTGTAGGTCTCTACTTTTCATCACTTTGAATATTTCATGCTAAGACCTTCTGTCCTGCAAAGTTCCTGTTGAGAAATCAGCTCAGAGTCTTATTGGAGCTCCCTTGTAGGTTACTAACTACTTTTGCTGCTTTTAAGATTCCCTCTTTGTCTTTAACCTTTGGCATTTTAATTATGATGTGTCTTGGTGTGGGCCTCTTTGAGTTCATCTGGTTTGAGACTCTGTGCTTCTGGAACATGTTTGTCTTTTCCCTTCACCAGGTTAGGGAACTTTTACATCATTATTCTTTCAAATAAGTTTTCAATTCCTTGTTCTCTCTCTTCTCCTCCCACACCCCAATGATGCAAATATTGGTATGCTTGAAGCTGTCTCAGAAACTCCTTATACTATTCTCATTTTTTTTTTTTATTCTTCTGTTTGCTGTTCTGATTGGGCGCTTTCTGCTGCCTTATTTTCCAAATCTCTGACTTGATCTAGTTTCATATATTCCACTGTTGAGTCCCTGCAATGCATTCTTCATTTCAGTCATTGTATTTTTCATTTCCGACTGGTTCTTTTTATGTTTCCTATCTCTTTGTTGAAGTGCTCCCTAACTTCCTCACTTCTTCTATTTTCCCCCTAAGTTCATTGCAAGTCCTTATAACCAGTGTTTTGAACTCTGTATCTGGTAGATTATCTCCATTTTGTTTAGTACGTTTTCTGGAGTTTTATTCTGTTCTTTCATTTGGGACATGTTTGTCTCCTCATTTTGGCTGCCTCCCTATATTTGTTTCTAGGTATTAGGTAGAGCTGCTACATCTCCCAGTCTTGGTAGAGTGCTTAGTAGGTGTCCTGTAGGGCCCAGGGACACAGCCTCCCAAGTAACCCAAACTGGGTGCTCCCCACTTCCACACGCACAACCCTCATTTGGGTTGTGTGCACATTCCTATTGTAGTTGAGACTTGATTGCTGTTGGCACATCAATGGGAGGGATTTCCCCAGGCCGACTAGCTGTGAGGACTGGCTGCAACTACAGCTGAGGAGCTGCTGTGCAGGGGCCGACACCACAGAGCAGAATTCACTTCAATGGGGCTGTGGTGCCCAATGAGTCCACCTCTTGTGTGTCATTCATGGAGGTGGCTGAGTGGTGCTCTGGTGTGGTCTGAAGGTGTCCATGGGGTCCACTGGCTCCAGGGCCTCCTAGGAGGTGTAAGTCAAGATCAGCCACCACCTGTGCCCTGCCCAGGGCCACCCACTATGAGCTACAGAGCTGTAGATGGCTGCTACTTGTGCTGGGTTTGGAGGTACCCGGGCTGAGGGAGCTGGTGTAGGGCAGGGTCCTCTCATTCCTCAGGGGGGCACCTCCCCAGCTCAACTATCCCTGCTAATTTTTAATCACCACACATGGGTATGGAACCAGCACGTTCCGCATCTCTGCCCCTTCTACCAGTCTCAATATAGCTTCTTCTTTATATTCTTAGTTATAGGACTTCTGTTCAGCTAGATGTCAGGCAGTTCTGAATCATGTGTTTTCTATAGTTTAGTTGTAATTTTGATGTGGTTGTGGGAGGATGTGAGTACCACATTTACCTATACCACCATCTTGACCAGAAGCCCCCTTGAGGTGAGCTATCTCAGTGAGTCAAGTATCAAAATAGTTGTTATTATTTTTATCTTTTTACCTGTATTCAGGCTGACGACTTCCAGAATGATCATCTCTTGTCCACTTATAGGCTGATTCATCCTGTAAAATAAAAAGTTACTTAGACATTGTGTTATTTTGGTCAAGTAGAATATATCTGACAGTACTACTGGAACCTACTCTCTAAGACCAAAATAATATGAGGACAAAAACACCTTTCTAAATTTCTCTGAGCCGAAATGCATAAAATAAAAAACATACAAATCATCCATTTTAACAACTAAATTAGTAAACTGAGAATCTATGGTACCATTTATCTCTATGAAAACGCTTAAATATTTCTTTGGTAGGCCCTAACAGCCTTATTGCCAAGGACACATATACCAACGTAACAACTTTTCTCATCAAGTTTTTATTCCTCATCTTACCTCTCATTGAGAGACATAGCTGCAAACACTGGAAGAAACCATCCATACTGATAGGCTATATTAGAGCAAAATGTGGCACTAAGTTTGAAATTAATCAAAGAAAGCAAGCACATTTTGTCCTCTAGGACAGACACATCTGAAAAGGTGCAAATAAAAAGAAACATAATAATCCACACCCAATTACTTTTAAATTATGCATAGAATAATATAATCAGAAGCACTCTTTCAGCTAAGATAAACACTACTTTCATCTCCTTTAGCATCACATACTCTACTCTTACATACGTAAAATGTATTAATCATTTTCCTTTACAACATTAAATATAAACAAACAAAAGAAAAAATTCAACAACTATAATTAAATATTGGATCAAGTAAGTAGTTTACTTTATATAACTAAAGTCTAGATAAGAATCAGTGTCATAAAAGTTCTAAGGATCTCCAGTGGGCTTGTTTGAAGATAATTTAGAGAGAAAATGTTGAATACAGTATAAACATTATTTACAACAATATTGTTGAAGTACTATTATGCTACAAGGTTTCAGAAAAAAATTCATGTTTGCCCTGGCCGGTTTGGCTCAGCGGTTAGAGCGTCGGCCTGCGGTCCTGAGAAAAAAATTCATGTTTGTGAGGATTCAAATACAAACTGGTCCACTGAATCCAAAATACTCTTTCTAAAGTAGCAAATGGCCACAGGATTTTCACAAGAGGGATAACAACTCTATGCAAGACCAAATTGTTTTTTCCTAAGACTACCTGGAAGATGGGCTACTATGGCAAAATCCAATATTTCTAGAACAGGGATGATGCATAATGTTTACTTTTAAAAACTGAATCCCTCTTCCTAAATGAACAGCATGACATTTTAAAATTAAACAAAATAAAAATTAATTCCATGAGAAGGAAGCCCTAACACTCCAAATTTTAAAAGCAAACACAAGAAACATTGAAGAGTCTGCTCACCACTACAGAACTGTCAGGGGAACCATGGCACGGCAGTGAGAGAACTGGACTCCCACGCACACACCCACCCCAGGTAATTCCCTGCACCTCCATTTCTTCAAGTGTGAGGTACAGAAACTAATTCCAACAGCCAATGTGAAGTCAGATTTTATCATAAGCAATGCTTGAATATGTACTGTTAATTATAATATTATAAAGCAGGGAAGGGAAAATGTAAGAAAATAGTCTAGCAGAGAAAACATGCAAGCTAGGTCAAAGAATTGCATCAAAAAATATTTTCAATCAAATTTAATGTCAGATTACTATAACATTAAATATATAATTTTAGATTATTAAAGATGGTCATGAAAAATAATATAATAGCAGTAGTAATAGTAATGATAGCAGCTAACATTTTAAACATGCTTACTATGGGAAAGGTGATGTTTTGAGTGCTTTCTAATCTGAGTCAGTAAGTAGACTTTAATAATACCTACGGCAAAAATAAAACAGTCTCAACAGCCTTAACCCAACCTCCCCATGGCATTTCATCATGCTAAAAATAATCAAAGTAATTATAAGGGAGCATATCTACTGCGATAGTAATCACTTGCTCACCACTTGAATACCAAGGAAACAGATTACCTTTAACTGCTTCTGCAAATCCCTGCTAATTTGGGGGATATAAAAGCAGGCTAGTTGGAATTAATGTCATGTAGATAGAGCTATCCAGAGTGCTTACCCACTTTGTCCAGCACCCCAAGAGTCTTGACTGTCACTTCCCATTTGACAGCTCCAGCAGACAATTCAACAGAGCATCAAACAGGAAGTGTTTATTCTACTGCCTTCATGGTCAGTCACATAAATTGCAAAAATTACATGATTTTTAAACTTATAAAAAAATAACAATTAGTACATGGGGGAAATTTACATACTCCTCTGTGAGGTGGACCACTTCTTCGATCATGAGAAAAACTGCGGCCCTCGTCATAGTCTCGGTAATCAACATGACTGTAATATCTATTGTAGCTTCCTTCAACCGGTCTGTCTAGCAGTGGTGGTTTCTTTGGCACAATATTAACTACTCTATGGTAGCCATCCTAAAACAGACAAAAAGAAATATATAAAAATCACTGATTTCTCTACTGGGTTTTGGAAAGGTTTTAAAAAAGCACAGGAGTTCTTATCCTTAATCAAATAAAATAAATGTATAAACAAACAAAAATGCATTAATGAAATAACATGAATATAACCAATAGTAAGATCTTCACATGGATTAAAGGAAATAAAATTGTTCAATGAAGAAAGACAGGTGTTTAATAAAATCACATGCAGTAATGCAGAAAACCAATCATAAGTAAAAGAAAAATACAATATTATTGTTTTAATAAAAAATAAATTACAGAAAGTAAGAGTGTTACAATACTAATCCCTAAATGCCTAGGAATTTTAGAAATAAAACCATTTAAAATAGCACACATCTTTGGTCTACTGTTGAAGTATACTGTTCAGAAGAAATACAAGATTTGTACACATAAGCAACAACAAATAGGGAGGTAATACTGAGTTAGGAAGATCAAGAGGAAACATTTTGCTCTCTCCCACAGCACTGGACAAAAGTGTCTTTGACTTCACAGGTTTGAAAGCAAAATAAAACCCAATATAAAATATCTGAATGAACTTCCAAAGGAATATGTTGTTAATATTTAAAGTTTTAGCAACTGAATGGATTCTTTGTGGGGGTTAGGAAATTGGACAGAGACCAACACTTATCTTAGATGAGTAGCTGCTGTGAAATAACAATAAAAAGTATTAAGAACTAGAGAGAGAGAGCACATTCTGTAAGTAATCCGCTCTTGAGCACTCACGCTAACTTTCTATCAATACCAGGTGAGACAGGTGAAAGAAACCAGGAAGCTATCTAAGTATGCAAGACATGATCAACTAATGAGTTAACTAATTTGACAAAAAACAACATAAAGCCCAACATTCAAAGCTGGATAGTTTACCATCCTACACCTCAGTTTCATTATTTGTGAAATGATCTAAATACCAGGATCTACCTCTTGAGGTTGTTGTGAAGACTAAATAATCAGATTGTGAAGCATTTAGCACAGTAGTATAAACTAAGTGCTCAAAAAATGTTTGATATTTTGATTACTACTTACTTAAGTCTAAGTGAAACACTAAATTCTTCAAGAGTCTACTTCCTTAAATTACTTCTTCGCATTGATAACTACAACTATTCAGTTAATAAGTTATTACATCCTTTTCAAATTTCCCAGTGGGTAGGAAATTTGTCAGTATGCTGGGAAAAATTAAAATCAATAGTTCATATCTGCCCTGGCTGGTTTGGCTCAGTGGTTAGAGTGTTGAGAATCACAGGTTTGATTCCTGGTCAAGGGCATGTACCTCAGTTGTGGGTTCAATCCCCAGCCCCAGTTGGGGTTGTGCAGGAGGCAACCAATCAATGTTTCTTTCTCACATAGATGTTTCTCTCTTTCTCTCTCTCCTTACCTTCCTTCCTCCCACTCTATCTAAAAAAAAATCAATAGAAAAATATTCTCGGGTGAGGATTGAAAGAAAACAAAAACTTCATATCTACTTGATAGCTAAAATTTCTACCTAATTCTTTTGCATTGGCATACTAGGTGGTTACCTTCTTTAGTATGTTAGACATTAAACTGTAAGAAATATTTTATATGTTTACATAAAATATAGTACACAAATGAATTTATTAACTCCTCTAACCACTCTCTCTCACAGAGATTTCAATTAAATCTAAGCAAATGCTAAGCTTCCCAAAAATGTCATTAAGCCAAAATTAGCAACATTACAATTCGTAACATTTTCTAATTCAAAATCTGTTATTCAAAAACTTTAACTCAAATTTTGTTATAAAGGTAGAATTACTGATTTTTCCAATTCTAAGAAACTACATAAAGTTCCATTCCACAATATCCTTGTTTGTTTGTACAGTCGGCCCTCGTTTATCGCGGTTAATCAGTTCCAGACTATCGCGATAAATGAATTTCTGCGAAGTAGGATTCTTCATTTATGTAGTCACCCCTCGCCACTTCGTGCTTTGACTTGAACAACTTTTTGGGAAAAAACCGCGACAGAGTGAGGCCGCTAAAGCAGCGCGAAGTGGCGAGGGGCGACTGCACATGCTTAGCTGGAGGGATGGTGAGGTGAGTATGCCTAAACACTTCTATGAGTGGACAGACAGCTTCTGTATTTACTAAGCAGCCTGTTCCTTTGTTCAGCTCCCACAGTTACTAGAGTGTTACTTCAGGATTTAAAAATGTATATGGTAAAACTTTCAAAGAAGTAAAACTGGAATGACATTTAGTTATATACTTAACAAATTATTTTTACCAAATAATAAATGAAAAAAACAAACTCTCCTAATGACAGCTCTGTATCTAGTAATAAAGATCAAATTGCTATTTCCTTTATGTTTTGAGAAAGTGTTCGAATATAAGTACATTATACCATCTCTGCACTGTACGCATCTAATCTTAAAGAAAACTCCCTAACAATATGAAGAGATTTAAGGAAATGAAGATGACTGTAGGGGACTGTAACAAAGCAAGACTATCTTAAGAGATGGTTCATGTCTTATCCAGACATAGTATTCATGGATTTCTTTTTCTTTCCAATAAAATCCATGATGAGTGACAAAGATTCCAGAATTTCTCTTTCAAAAGCTTATACTATTAAGAAATTTCAAAGAGTATTTTCCATTACCTACAATGCCAGACCTGAACAAAAACACCAACACTGTTTGAAATTCTTGTACAAATCTTACATTGAGCTATAAACATGTAATTTTCCTCTCTAAATGCTAACAAAAGTACATAAGGCTTCAGGTACCGATATGTTTGGAACCTCCATTTTAGAATTACTTAGAAAACAATGGCACCATTACATACAAACAAGAAATAAAAACTAGGACTTATAAAGTAAAACTTAAAACGTTTTTAAGAATAACAGGATAATTTCCAATTAACTAAAAATGAAATCAATGAAATTAGTAGGCTGGATACAGATTATAAAGATTATTAATTCTTTAAAATTACTTATTCTCCAATATCATTAAAATATTTTTGCACACATTTTAACACAAAAACATTTAAAATAAAAATTTTAATACATAAGTATCCCCCTTAAGCATTTTTATCTTTCAGAGATATATACTGAAATATTTATTTGCATTTGAAATAATGGTATCTTGGATTTACATCACAATAATCAGAGAGGGGAGAAAGTAGTAAAGACATAGACAGAACAAGATTAACCATGAGTTTTGATAACTGTCACTTGTATGATTTGTCCATGGGATGTTCATTATATTATTTTGCCTACTTTTATATACTTAATTTTCACCCTTATAAAAAGTCAAAAACAACTAAAACACTCTAACCTACCAGTAAAGTAACTAAGTACAATGGCACATGCCATTACTTCCTAACTTACACTAAAAATGCAAGCCTCATGGGCAGAAGCCTTGTTGATCGTCACTACTCTATCCCCACCACCTGGAATTTCACTTGGCACATAGTAAGTACCACATACATCATATATATTCTACTTGGCTATCTCAATTTGATATCACTTTTGGCATCACACGCTTTTTACTGGAAAAGTACCTAACAAATCACATCTAACTAAAAAATTATATTACACAGGCTAGTAAAGTTGTTTTCGTAAATTTGAAGTTTATTCACTCTGATCCATCATAGTTTGTGACAAGCATCTTTATTGTAGCACTTACTGGTTTAATTCGCTGGCTGAATTTTCTTTTTAAATCCTCATGCTTAGAACAAGGAAGGGGGGAGATATATATATATATATGTATACACATAAAGAGAGAGAGAGAGAGAGAGGGAGAGAGATATCCATGCAAGAAACATTGATGGGTTGCCTTCCGTGCACTCCCCAACTGGGGATCAAACCCACAACTCAGGTATGTGTCCTGACCAGAAATCGAACCCACAACCTTTCAGTACACAGGATGATGCTCAAACCAACTGAACCATTCTGATTGGCCAAGCTCTCTTGCTGAACTTTCAATGAAATATTCTGAGTCATTTGAATGCCTTTTGGGAATAATGTATAAAATATGTTAAACTGAAACTGCCCCAGAAAATTGGGACATATTGTTATAGAACTAGTCAAGAACTGATTTTATCTCTCTGAAAATAGTGACAACAAAAGAAAATTAAGTTGTTGCAATTCTGTTAGTCAAGAAAGTAAAACACTGGGATTGCTCAATGGTTAGAGTATCAGCCAGCTTACTGAAGGGTCTCGGGTTCAATTCCTAGTCAAGGGCATGTACCTGGGTTGCAGGTTCAATCAGTCAGCGTGCAAGCAGGAGGCAACCAATCGATGTGAGATAAATGTTTCTCTCTCTCTCTCTCTCCACCCTCTTCCTCTCTCTCTATAAAAAAATAAAAGTAAAATGCCTACTAGGGTAGCTCTAAAATAACATTACTCAATCAACAGTAAATTAACAATTAAGATTTTGCATTTCATGCAGTAATTTTCACATTGAAAAATAATTTTAAGAAACAGTGCATTTTGGCTAATGCTATGCATGCTTGAGTAGTTAAGGAAATGTACTGTTACCCAGTTTACTTTGAAATGCATCCATGCCCTGGCCGGTTTGGTTCAGCGGTTAGAGCGTCGGCCTGCGGTCCTGAGAGACCCGGGTTCGGTTCCCGCTAAGGGCGCGTACCTCGGTTGCAGTTTGTCCCCGGCCCCGGTTGGTTGTGCGGGTGGCAGCCACTCGATGTGTCCCTTTCACATCGATGTTTCTCTCTCTCTCTCTCTTCCTCTCTCTCCCTCCCACTCTACCTGAACAAAAAATGGAAAATGTCGGGTGAGGATAAAAAAAAGAAAAAAAGAAAAAAAGAAATGCATCCAAAAGATTAGATGGATTAGCCCAGCCGGTGTGGCTCTATGGCTGAACATCAACCCATGTACCACGAGGTCGCTGGTTAGATTCCCCGGTCAGGGCACATGCCCAGGCTGTGGGCCCAATCCCCAGTGGGGGGCATGCAGGAGGTGGCCAATGAATGTTCTCTTTCATCAATGT